GGAAAGCTGACGTTTCGGGTCCGGACCCGAAACGTCAGCTTTCCTGCTCCTCTGATGCTGCTTGGCCTGCTGTGTTCTTCCAGCTCTACACCTTGCTATCTCAGGATATTTTTCTATTTTTTTTTTCCTATCATACTTACCTAAAAAACTATTGGCTACTACCACTTACTGTCATTGCAAGTTCTGCTTTCGAACGTCTCTGAGTAAAGAGGTTTTTCCTATTGGATTTATTGGTAGCTAATATTTATAATCCTAAATTTTGGATTCTCTCATATCCCCTCTACATCTATCCTTTCTAACTCATGGTTAATTATGAAGACTTTTTGTAAATTAAGAAATGACAGTTTGTTTTGCCCATCAAACTTCAAACATCTCTCAGGACTTCAGAAGAACTAATGGAATGCCATAGGTTGGGCCAAGAGATGCTTTGAAGTTTGAACAGGAACAAACTAATTACATGAGAGACACCATGCAAGTTTGACCCCAAATCACACACCATCCTAATGTGGAACTATATTGCTGTTTCTTCATTATCACAGGAACAAGCCAGGGAGTCATTTCCCAATGGTACTGTGGTTATCAACACACCCCAAGGGCTCAAGAAGACAATTCACCACCACCCTCTCTCGGGCAACTGGGGACTGGTGATAAATGTTGGCCAGCCAGTGATGCCCATGTCCCACAAATGAATAAATAAAAGTGCTGGCCCAGGCACAGACATCTCATAAACAAAGTTTAAAATGTTAAAACTCTTTCCAAATCAAGTAATGCTACCATTGTCTGCAGAGTTAAAGACACTGAGAATTTCTGCATGCACCGAGCACAATAGCGCCAGCATATGCCATTTATTTGCTGTTGTTAAGGTTTATTTTTCACTTTGTTCCTAACTTGACTTACTTAAATTGACCACTTTCACAATAAAGTGAGTAATTAAAAGGAAAAGCTTCTGGTGAGATCAACCAAAATCCTGCAAGGCTGCCATTAATAACAAAAATGCATCAAATTTACATTCCTTAACTGAAAAGGTTTATCTCTCAGACTGGGTACACAGGCCTCATAAAAAATGGAGCATTTAAAACTGAATTACTCTTTAAGTGAATATGCTTTTCACACTGTAAAAGAAATGAAGAAATAAAACTGAACAAAAATACATCATGAAGAAGATATTTCATTTTGTGACATTTATACATATGGAAATTGAGTAATACATCATTTTCTCCCCTAACAATACTCAATAGATAGACTGAATTACATGACTGAGAATAATCTTGTGTATGAATACGTGGCAGCCTCTCATCTTAAAATTTAATGTAAAATTTCAGAATTGAAAACTTAGAATTATCACCATAAAAGCATAAAATATTAAGAGCTAAAATCTTCTCCTTCACATAGCCCTGCCTCCAGACTACAACCAAATGGTTCTAAAATCTACTTGATGAAAATCATAAGCTATACTGAACTGCATTAACACCGAAATATGTGTCAGGTCTATCACTGAATCTCACTTGGGTCTTTCAAAAGAATACACAATTAGAATAGATTACTTTGAATGTTCCTTCAGAGATTTCCCCATGCATTATAGCTGTGACAACAGAAGGATGCTCCAGGTGCTCCATTAATAACATCTTTAATGCTCTCTAGGCCACCTTACATGGAGACAAGTGCCCCTGCTCCAAACAACAGCTTCGCATTAAATATCCTGCGTTCCTGGATTTATCTTTGGACCAGTCTTCGATTTGTATTAAATTGGATCCACTGTTCTGAAAGCAAAAGCAACAAGATATAAACATGACATGACCATGAGGAGGGGGGAGGGATGTAAGAAAAATAGAAAAAAAGGTCACACTCTAAAGTTGTAAAAATCAATATTGAGTCCTAGCTGGCAGCCTGATGGTACCGCTGCTAATTCTTAACTCAGCAGCCAAGCTAATATTCTACAGCCCTTTTGTGGCACAGTGGTAGAGTCCCTACCTCTGAGCCAGGAGACCTGGGTTCAAGTCAATCTGCTCCAGAGGTGTGTAATAACAACTCAATTAGAAAATATCAAAAAGAGAGTGGAAGATGGGGTGTCATTCCTCCAGCTTATGTTGTTTTGTGTGGTGCTTGCATGCTATAGCAGGCCCAGGATGGAAATGTTAGCATAACATGGGACCAAGATGGTTTGCTGACAGCAAGCAACTGGAAGGTCTGGGTCATTCACGTGGACAAAGCAGAGATGTTCTGCAAAGTGGTTACCCAGTCTGCATTTGGTCTTATCAAAGGAGAATCCATACTTCCTTTTATATCTCTCCAAATTACTTCTATTCAAACTAAGGGGGTAAAGGGAGGGTAGATAATTCAATACCAAGCTTCCATTTGCACCTGCAGTCAGCAAAATCTTCCAATTTCACCTATGACTAATCCAGCCTCAAAATCACATCATTCAAAATGAATCAGTGTCAGCTTGTGTTTTTTTTAGCTCTTTAAAGCACTTAGCATTCTTAATGAATGGGGAATCACAACATCATAACAGTGGGATAAAATGAACTGACCACGTTCGATAAAATATGGAGTGGAACAGCCAGACTGACAGAAACAGATACATGATGCCCTCTGTCAAGGCAAAGCATTATGTAGCCATCCATACAAAATAAAAAGGTCATTTGCTAGCAAGGCAATGTATCAACAGTGTTCTTCGACTGAACAAGCTGCCAAAGGAAACAGTCACAGCCTCATCACCTTAAATCATCAAGATCCAACTTCAGATAATTTCATAGACTCAGCACAAACTCTCCAAAGAGCATCCCACCCAGACCCATTCATCCATCCTATCCCCACATTCGAACATGGCTAATCCACCTAGCCTACACATACTTAGACACTACAGGGCAATTTAGCATTGCCAATCCACCTAACCTGCACACCCTTGTACTGAAGGAGGAAATCAGAGCACCTAGCAGCAGCCAATACAGATACAGGGAGAATGTGCAAACTCCATACGGTCACGCAGGGCCGGACTCCAGCCCAGGACCCTGGCACTGTGAGGCAGCAGTGCTAACCACTGAACCAATGCGCTGCCCAGTTTTCAATGTTCGGTCCATCATCTTAGCAGGTTAACCCTGGTTCAGCCCACGTTATGCAAAATCATGTTGACAGAATAGAGATGTTAGTCTGTGATGCTAACACAATTAAAGCAGAAATTAGTAAAACTACACAAGATGCATCCAAGGGAAAGATGAGAATGGCAGCATTATTTCATAGCTTGATCATGCAGATATGTTTTAAGGAGCATCTAAAAGGAAGTGAATGGGTGGTGAAGGGATTGAGAAGTTTAGTGTAGAAATTGAGAATTTGGAGCCAAGATGGGCACCAAAAGGGGGGCAAAGATTATGGAAGTGAGAAATAGAAATAAAATGTCAGCAACGGTGGTCTGGAAAAGCATGGTTCCAAGAAAAAAAAAATTCAAGCAGTTTTTTTTAATTTTGTTTTAATCTTCTGAACATTTGTCCGTCCGGCAATCAAAAAATTTGTCATGCACCCTGCCTAATTTGATAGCCCCGCGGTTTAATTTTAATCCCCAGTAATCTGTTTTCTTTCAGCCTGGGCTTGTTGTCAAATGTGATTTCAGGGAAGCAGCTCTCGGTGAAACCTATCCCCCACCCCGCTGTTTCCAGCATGTGGGAAGGAGCTCTCATTTGAAAAGACGATCATTCAGATAGCCAGGCTCCACAACCACTGCTGCTTTCAATGAGCTTCTGTCGCCCACTCCCCAGGGAAAGAGGCGAAAACTCTGTGTCACAGTTTTGAACCTACTCAGATGTCACACCCTCCCACCCCATCCTCCCCCATCAACATCGGCTTCAATCCTGTCATTATTTGGGGGGGGGGGGGGGGGGAACGCAGCGGAAAGCGAAGACAAGGACTGGAGTAGGGCTGGAGTGGAGTGGACATTCCCTGTGATGGGGCTTGGGGGAAGATGAGTGTGTGTGTGTGAGAGAGACTGACAGCTCCCTTTGCAGATTTAATCTACGTGAGACCTCCCTTTGAAGGTACAGACTGCAAGCAGAGAGCATCCTTTATAGGAACAGCTCCATTCGAATCCTGAGTAAGGGAGCAGGACAAGAGGGACCAAGGAAGGGAAACTGTTGTATTTTTGTTTTGGAGGGGAAAGGGTGGGGAGGGATGTGAGACTGTCACTGTCCCAAAGATCCCTGACCTGGATATTTTTTTTAAAATAAAATTCTGGTCAAAAAGCTCTTTGGATGATTGTGCATGGTCAGAGGGATGAGACTGCATTTAGAGCGTGGCTTTGTGAATTTAACCCGTGGATTCTTAATATTGTCATTCTAAACAGAGACATTAACAAAAAAAAACAGAATTAATTGAAAGGGTCTGAAGAATCATGGCCAGATTTCGACGGAAAACCTGCGTCGCTCTGTCGCTCTTCACACTCTTCATTTTCGGTACAATGATGGGGCTGAAGATGCTGAAACAGACCGAGGGTTTGGGGGAGCCTGGTGCCGGGTTACAGCATCTTCCCCTGGCGGACGGCCGGCAGTCAGTGCCGGTCAAAGCCATCCTGATGCTGCCGCCCACCGTGACCAAGGCGGTGGTCCCCGGCCCCTTACCCGCTTACCCCCCGATCAACGCGGACCTGCACATCTTCTACTACGGCTGGTACGGCAGCCCCCGTTTCGACGGCAGGTTCCTGCACTGGGATCACCTCCTGGTGCCTCACTGGGACCCCAAAGTGGCCGCCAGTTACCCGAGGGGCCGACACCACCCTCCAGAGGACATCGGCTCCAGCTTCTACCCGGAGCTGGGACCCTACAGCTCCCGGGACCCGCATGTCATCGAGGAACACATGAAGCAACTTCGATCTGCAGCCGTGGGTAAGCAGGTTTAAAGTGAAATCATAGCAAATGATATTGTGCACTGAATTCTTAAAACAAAAAAAAGTGCAGCATTTTTTAAGGATATGTCATTATGTTCCTGGTTTCTTGTATGTATTTCAATGTGTAGCATAAACAGAATGTGGTTACACATAGTAACGGCTAGAGAGGGAGTTTTAACTCTCTCGCATCCACAGGTTTATTTATTCTCTCTGGTTCCCCTAAAGAAACATTGAATCCCTACAGTGCAGAAACAGGTCATTCAGCCCTCCTAGTCCACACCGACCCTCTGAAGAGTATCTCACCCAGACCCAACCCCCTACCCTATCCCTGCACAACCCTGTGTTTCCCATGGCTAACCCACCTAGTCTGCACATCCTTAGACACTGCAGGGCAATTTAGCATGGCCAATCCACCCAAACCTGCACATCTTTGGACTGTTGGAGGAAACTGGAGTACCCAGAGGAAACCCACACAGACACGGGAAGAATGTAATCAAGAGTTTTGATGCAACCATGGAGCTAAGGGTCTGGATTCTGAGGGAGGGTCACTGGACCTGAAACGTTAATTCTGATTTCTTTCCACAGATGCTGCCAGACCTACTGGGCTTTTCCAGCAATTTCTGTTTTTGTTTCTAATTTCCAGCATCCACAGTTCTTTTGGTTTTTATTTTGTGGAGCTTAGGGTCTTTGACACGATGCGTAGGTAGGGTCTGGAAAGCACTGGCTGGAAGTGTGGTGAAGGCAGTGTCAGTTGAGGCATTCAAGAGGGAAAAGATGATTGTCTAAAGAAGACGCATATTATGGTGTTATGATGTAAAAGGCAGGAGAGTGGCGCAAAGTTGTGATGTTCATTCAGAAGGGCACTGCAGACATGATGGACCAAATGGCCTCCTTCTGCGCCATAACAGTTGTGTGATTCTGTGAACAAAGAGATCGGTTTTGCCACTTCTGAGGAGTAAAAGTCCAAGACAATGCTAGTCAATGAAAACCAGGAAATCTTAAGAGACACCCAAGCTGGTCTTGCAGCATCATTGGAGTGAATGGAAAGAGGACAGAGTTAAGGTTACAAGTCTGATATGACTCTTCTTCAAAAGTATAATTCTTAAGATTAGCCGTACTAAAGTCAAAATGTTAACTACAAACAAAAAAAAAGAAATTGCTGGAAAAGCTCAGCAGGTCTGGCAGCATCTATGGAGAGAAATCAGAGTTAACGTTTCAGGTCGAGTGACCCTTCCTCAGAACTGCCTTGAAATGTTAACTATTTTTCTCTCCACAGATGCTGCCTGCTGTGTTTCTCCAGCACTTTCTGTTTTTGTTTCAGATTTCCGACATCCACAGTAAATTTGTTTGTATTTCCAAGAGTGTGTGATGTGCGAGGTTGATGATATAACCCAAATCCTACATAACTTTTTATCATTAGTCAGAAAAGATTGTTTTTGGCAAGTGAAGGATGGGTGTGGGATAGGGAAAAGAACAATATCAGGCAATCTTATTGTGGTTGGGGGAGGGAGGGGAATGGGAGACAATATTGAGAATCCTGTCAACCACAGCTGGACTAAGAGACAAACTTCTCAGTTCAGGATAAAGGGAGACATATCATAATTGGGCCTTTGACTATGTCTGTCTCTAGTCAGCATTGACTACAACAACTTCAGCCTGCACCCATTTTGCTTTCTTGTTCTCTGAAGGTTTCAATTTTAGAAATAACTTGTTCTTGCTTTCAGATGGCATATATTCTACATTCTGCCATTCACCTCTCCTCGAGGTGTCTTTATTGTGTCTTTACTTGTCCAATTACCCCTCCCTTTGGTCCAGTAACACAACTCTTCTGTCAATTAATCCCTCCTGTCTTCCGTCCAATGACGGATCTTCCCTTTTGTTCTCATCCCATCCTTCCCCCATTCATTTGCTTAGAACCTATTACCTCTCTAACTGTGAGCGACAGAATTTTACTTTTCTTTCATGTATTTCAGTGATAGAAGAAGTAAGGTGTTTAAAAACACAACATTGATTTTGGAAATATCATGATACATCAATTCAAAAAAGAATTTGCGATTGTCTGACTCAATAATAAGAAATGTGGAATTGAGGTTGCATTTCTGCAAATGGTTAAAGCCAAATGTCTAGAAGATGAAAGTTGTAAGCAGTGCTATTGAATGTGAAATTGTTTAAAATTGCAACTAAAATGCAGATTTCACTTTATCATTCAGTGCTGGGATTCCTGCAAACTATAAAGCAACACAAGCTATTTTCCCTGGAGCATCAGAGGCTGAGAGGTGACCTTATAGAGGTTTATAAAATCATGGATAGGGTGAATAGGCAAGGTCTTTTCCCTAGGGGAGGGGAGTCCAAAACTAGAGGGCATAGGTTTAAGGTGAGAGGGGAATGAGTTGGGATGCTATGTTGGCATTGTACAGGACATTGGTGAGGCCTCTTCTGGAATACTGTGTCCAGTTCTGGTCGGCCAGTTATAGGAATGATATTATCAAGCTGGAGAGGGTTCGGTTTGAGTTAAAAGGAAAGGCTGGATAGGCTGGGACTTTTTTCACTGCAGCGTAGGAGGTTGAGAGGTAACCTGATAGAAGTTTATAAAATGAGAGGTATAGATAGAGTTAATGGTAGTTGTCTTTTCCCTAAGATGGGGAATTTCAAGACTAGGAGGCATATTTTAAGGTGAGAGGGGAAAGATTTAAAAAAGACATACGAGGCAATTTTTTACACACAGGGTAGTTCGCATGTGGAATGAACTTCCTGATGAAGTGGTGGATGCGGCTACAATTACGACATTTAAAAGACATTTGGATAGATATATGAATAGGGAAGGTTTGGAGGGCTATGGGGCAGGAGCAGGCAGGTGGGATTAGTTTAGTTTGGGATTATGTTTGGCATGGACTGGTTAAACCGAAGGATCTGTTTCCATGCTGTATGACTCTAGTTAACAGGGACCTAAGGGGCAACTTTTTCACAAAGAGGGTGGTGCATGTTTGGAATGAGCTGCCAGAGGAGGCCGGTACAATTACATTTAGAGGGCATCTGGATGGGTATGTGAATAGGAAGGGTTTGGGGGCATATGGGCCAAATGCAACTGGATTTATTTAGGATATCTGGTAGGCATGAATGAGTTGGACTTGAAAGGTCTGTTCCATGCTGTACAACTCTAGGATTCTGTGACTCTAATCACAGAAAAGGAAGCCAATCAGCCCACCTGCACTAGTTTGCTAAATGAGCATCACTGTGCCATTGTGCTTGTGCCAATTTCCTGCATTTTCCCCATAGCCTTGCACATTTTTTGATCCATCAATCATCCAATGCCCTCTAAAATGCCTCAGTTGAAACTACCTCGATTAGGCAGTGCATTCCATACCATAACTGCTTGCTACATAAAAAAGTGTTTTCTTCATTTTAGACTTGCTTGTTTTTCAGATCACTTTCAAATGAGAGTCAGGGCCTCATAATAAAAAGGAAAAGTGATTGAAATACTGGAGTCAGTAACTGAAATAAAGGAGCCTGGTGCAGTAGCACGCAGAAGTTAAAACAGGAAGTGTGCATTCTTTATCGATCCTTCTGTTGATGTGAATGTAAATCTCGCAGAACATTGATCAAACTACAGTTGTGCTTGTAAATCACAACCAACAAAGGGAAATGTAAAAGTGAGGTGGAAGCATCTACTTCTCTACAATTCACAAAACCAACAAATTGTAATAATTTCAGTGTAGAGGAGAGAGAATCTGGTACTGGAATTAACAATGAGTTGCTGCAATCCTAAATGAAATTTGACTTATAACAAAATGCTGATTTTTGATCTTTGCAGAAAATGGGATCATCAAGGGTAGTTTCATGCTCCATTACTGTAAGACTAGCTTTGCTCCAGTAGCTTTGACCGTCTCCTTCTCTCTTCCCTATAGCTTTGCTGAACTGTTCTGGTTGCCCTACTACAGGAAGGATATTATTAAACTGGCGAGGGCGTAGAAAAGATTTACAAGGATGTTGCCGGGAGTGGTGGGGTTTGAGTTATGGGGGAGGTTGGATAGGCTGGGACTTTTCTCCCTGACATGTCGGAGGTTGAGGGCTGACCTTATAGAAGTTTATAAAATCATGGGGGTGCATGGATAGGGTGAATAGCCAAGGTCTTTACCCCCAGTGGAGAAGAGTCCAAAACTGGAGGGCATTGGTTTAAGGTGAGAGGGGAAAGATTTAAAAGGGACCTGAGGGGCAACTTTTTCACTCAGAGGGTGGTACATGTATGAAGTGAGCTGCTAGAAGAAGTGGTAGAGGCTGGTACAACTGCAATATTTAAAATACATGTGGACAGGTAAATTAATAGGAAAGGTTTAAAGAGATATGAGCCAAATGCAGGCAAATGGGACTAGTTCAGTTCGGGAAACCTGGTCGGCATGGACAAGTTAGACCGAAAGGTCTGTTTTCATGCTGCATGACTCTATGACTCTATTAAGTATCTAAAGGATAGGTATGCTGTCAAACTCAAATCCTGACAGAATCACAATTTTCAGATTTAATTTGATTTATTGTTTGATTTGATTATTTGTTGTCACATGTACCTAAGTTTTGTTTTGCGTGCAGTACAAGCAGATCATAACATACGAGGACATACAGATCATAGGGTCTTTAAACAGAGCAAGGCACACAAGGTTATGGCTGCACAGGAGGTGCACAAAAGCAAGATCAATGTTGGATTTGAAATTTGAGAGATAATTGCCTGCAAAGGAGCTGACAATGAAACAAAAACCTTTGCTTAGTAGAAGGTCTCAATGGAGAAATAAATAAACCTTTTACACTATAATTTGTAAAGTGATCAATAAGCAGTGAAACAAGAACTCATAGATGCTACCCACCTTGAGAAGAATGAGATGGAGGGAATTGTGTGGTTGATGTGGAGTGCAGTAAAGATCCAAAGGTTGGAACAAATAAAAGGCAAATTAGGAGAGCAGAATTATTTTTGAAAAACAATTTGACTTACTAAGCAGCTGAATATTTTTC